TCTGCTGCTTTGACAGTCTTTTCAAGATTGTCCATGCTACAGGAAACACTCTGTTCATGTAGAAGGAGCCCCTTTTGCTGCGTGTTTCGGTATTAATGCCTATATTATAAGCTGCTGAAGTACCTTTCACACATCACCAGGTTTTTGTGGCTAGTGAAACAGCAGGATAACAGGCATTGCAGAATGAACCATTATTCCACACTGCAGGCAGGAATCTGTACACCCTGCTGCAAGGAATTAGTCTCGTCTCGGTGCTATACAGAGACTTTTGTAAGGGAAAAGCTACTGATTTACAAAGTTGCTGTGGCTGCAAACACAAAGAGCTSGACCTTAGGGCAAGTAAAAAAACAAACAAACAAACCACACAAACACACAAAGGCTCATTTTTAACTAATAAATCACTGAGGTATAATTGGCATTTAATTGGCACATCTAGCCTGTAATCTTGAATTGACATTTCTGGTCCATTGTCTACTATCTACCACATTTGGTTCCGCATTTTAAACAACATTATAGCTATGATTAATAGATTCAAAGAGATATTGATTATGCCTTCCTAGACACTTGCACATACATGTAAAATAGAAAAATGTTAACCCTTTTTTCCCCAGCATATACTGAGCACTAGGCTGCCTTTTGTCTGGACGCCAGCTGTGTGTTTAAGCAAAGGACAAGGCCAGTTTCACCAGTTTCTATAGGACACACTTAAGCCATAAGCATGTAGCTGTAAATCATGGGACAGCTGAAGACAGAAATCTAGTCTAAAGCTAAAAATATGCCGCAGTGTTTAGAGGAGCAATTGGGGGTTGCATGTAAATAATCCCCAAGAGTCCTTTTGCAAAGCATATCCTCCGGGGTGTTACTTTGTCACCTTTATTCGTGAAATTCAAAACACTAGTGGGCAGCGGAGGAARATGGGTTTGTTTATGAGTGATGGCTACAGTGAGTTGTGGAGGGCAGGGACCAGGCAGCTCCCCCAAGCAAGCCCTGCATTTCCATCCCCGTGCAAGCGGCCACCTCGCCTTCTGCAACGCAGAACTAAGAGCAATTAAGACTATTGTCCGTGTAATTCCCATAGAGTCCATCAGAAGAAAAGGAGAAAATCCAAAAAGCTGAAAATCAATCAGCTTTAATCAGAAGAGTTAGTAACTATAAGCTGATCATGTACAAATACAGAGGCTGTGGTTCTGAGATGAAGTTTGTCACTAGCAGCAGTTTCGACATCTAGACCTTCTTTCAAATGATGATTTACAAATGAAACAAAATATATTTGTGTTTTTTTTTTTTTTTAAGATTTCTTTAAGCACACCCCATCCATGCCCACCACTGCTGTGAAAAGGGAATCCAGGCATGGGCCCCATAAGAGCCAAGAGGAGCCCTGGCTTCTCATGTGGGAAGGACAAACAGGTAGGGAACCTCCATCTCCATTTTTCTGGTAAAACAAAACTAGAAAATTGATTAAAAATCCTCAAATAAATGGAAACTGTCTTCCAAGGCAGTTGTACCAGGCTCTAAGTTATCATGCAAAACACAGTATTTTTCTTTAAAGGCTCTTACATTCATTTTGTCTGTCTTTATGACATGCTTATTAGCACAGCTTGATATTTTAATTAATAAATAGCTGTTTGAGTTATAGAAAAAGAGAGAAAAACATATTTTTAGTGCCAGATGCAGAGAAACAGACTACAGCAAGACAAAAGGGAAATGGCTGGTCATAAAAAATCAACAGCTTGGTATATTAAAATGTATTTTTTCTGCATTGTTTCATGTTAGCAATTTCTGAATTTGGAACAGTTATACTATAAACATTAAAATATACCTTTCTTCCTCCCCAAACTTTTTTTCCAGTTGTACTGCTCTTTGTTTAAGTCAAACTATCCCTGATCTGCCCTTTTTGTAGCTTTTTCAGTGCAAGCTCCTGGGGTAAGTGAATTGAGGATGAAGAAAAGGAACAAGAAGAGAATAAACAGAACTATGATGTATTTAAGCCCACTTACTGCATGGAATGGATTTGATCCTCAGCAAATAGGCTAAAGGAAGGGTTTAAGTAACTAAATCATCATTGTATTTGGCTGACAATCTACAAAAGCAGACGTATTTTTATAAGTTATCAGTAATTGACACTACTTGACTCTCCCTTCCTCTCCTGCTGAATAAACATGCAAAATGACCAAGTGTTGGAAAAGGAGGCAATATTAAAAATCTAGACACAGAAGAATTGTGGAAGCAGGTGTCCTGCTGACGTTATCACAGCAATCAGAGACAGAAAAAATCCTATTAGGTCATCGAGCCCCTCCCTTTGTTATTGCAGGACTGCTCCCTAACAAAGATTTTCCAGTGCCCTGTCCAATTGAGTTTTAATACGAGCGAAGAGATGGCTTGCAGCAGCTCCCTTGGAAAACTGGTTCACTYTTAATAAGTATCACAGGCGTTAACAGCAATTGCCCTATTTGCCCTATAATTCCTGTTAATCTCCAGATTATAATCAATATCATAAAGATACTGAAAAGTGTTTCAGGATTCCAGAGAATTCCATGAAAATCTCCTAAAATGTAGCCGTGTAGCCATGGCTACTTTTTCTTTTTTCTGTCTTTGTGACTAGGCAATACATAAATAGACCACGCAGCTGACTTGTGACAAGCAAATGCCAAGGCGGATGTTAGAGAAACCAAAGATATCAGCCCTAATTCCAAGCCTTCACAGCAAGTCTGTCTGTCACAAATAAACAATAAATGATTTAGCAGTGTTAGGTACAGATACAGGCACTGTGTTCTTTCAAATCTGGATGTTTAGGCCATGGTTATTAGTCTAGCCTCCTAACGAAATGAGATGCATGTACTCATCTGCTCATCTGATTGTTCTCCACTAGTAACTATGGAGCTTAGTGTCCATTTCAATTGTTACACTACATGATAGAGGACATAAATCCATATTTATATGTCATTAGTTTTCTTGTACACAAACCAACCACTTTTTGTATTACTTTATGAAAAGAAAGTTCTAGACCATAAMATTTCCAGATTTAGTAACAAACCTCCAGGCATTGAAGGTCAAYATGGTCACTCTCTGCTTCATACTAACTTCATCATTTCTTGCCTATCTGCTAGTGACATTTTCTGATGCCACTGTGTTTTTACAAACTGCAAAAGTCCTTTTTCTCCAACTTACCTGCCCTGCTCTTCTTTTAGTTTTTAGTATCTTATACCTCTTGCATCAGTATTTTTCCATTGTTTAATGTCACTGACTTCAACCAAAGTTACTACCACAGAAAGACTTTGCATGAGTATCAAGCAAGACTGCTGCATTTTTATCAGGGCACCATTGGGTAACAAGCAGAAGTAGGGAGACACATGCACAGTAACTGAAATCATTACCTTGACCTACAACAAGCTGATGATATTTCGCAGCTTCTCTGGAAAAGCCATATGTAATCAGAGGCAGTGAAGCTACGGCTGTGAAGATGGAAGCTACTGCCACTGATGGTCATTAAAGAATGATCTTTCCTCAACTTTTTTGTTGCCCAACTACATTAAAAACAAGGAATTCTGTCATGCTGCCCAATATGCTCTCTCCAAGCAACTGGAGGGAATGGATACAACCCCGTGTACCCCTAGATCCCACAAAACAAACARAACACTGTCACCCCACACAATTTTGTTTTATCTTTCTTCTTTTCTACAATCACATAGCCATGTAAGGGCCTAGCTCTTAGCCACTTCTTACCATATGCCACTGTCTGACCAAATTAAGAGTAAATTCTACCACTTAAGAAGAGATTTTCTGTACAGATTTTGCAAGACAATTAAGAACTAGGCCAGAAAAACATTTATGTACTATGAAGCCAAGAGCAATGGGTAAAGCTGGAGATTTTGTTCTTCACCTATGCATTTCTCACTCCCTATAACCTGCTGTGGTTGATTGACTTGTCTGCTTTTTCACCACATCAAATGTGAAGCAATTGTCTTTGCTCACAAAGCCACCCCTACCCACCACTTTTTATTCAATGTCAAAAGACTGATTGTCAAAGCTTCCACTGGTTACCCTTTCTATTTTTGAAGGCTGTATTTTCTCCTCGTTTGCATCTCCCACTTGAGAGAGCTGACTGTAAATAGCTAAAAAGATGTCTTTATGCTCTTTTAAATCTCTTATTTGAAATCTRTTTTCCTAATATGCACTAACACTATGCTGTGTTGTGCCAATGAGTATGGATTCACGGATTCCTTACACTTGTTTCTCAATGGTTTCTACAGCTAGTATTGCCTACCTCTGGCATAGTTAAAAGTCTGCGCATGACTAACAGCGATTCTTTTTCTGACAGAAAAATTTGCCTTCCTTTTAGTTCCAAGYTACCTGAACTCATCAACAGCAAAGACTGAACTGGGCAATCACCTTGATCCCCAAACTGGTGACACGTACCAAGATGAAGGAAAAAGCAGAAGGAAAATCTGGGTAAATTTTAACATTGACTGGACAACTATGCACTTAGATCCTGGCATAAACACATGCAGATTGAAGGAAAATACTCATTTCTAAATTATGCAGAAATGATTTTTGGATAAAGTACACACATCCACCTTCACTAAACATCTTCCTTTCTTTTTAAAACAACAGACTCGCATAGAAACCCATTTCTGAGTGCAAAGATACATTTTGAATGATTCAGCATTTTTTCAGCAGTTCCATACTAACTCTGGAAAATGGAAAATGGAATCAGAAAGTAGAATTTATGACAGCCTAAGTATTAAATTGTGCTTGATAACTTGTTTGCTTACTATTTCTTCTACCTGAATGTTCTCCAGTACCACAATTATCCATTTAAGAAATATATGCCTCATCAGACCATTAACAAATAGAAAAGAGTTGTATAAAAAGTTCCTTGTATTTCATAAAACTAACATTACAGTGTTGCATTAACACTCATTTTTGAGCATATGAATACACATAAATGAGTAGGTCTCTCTGTATACTTTGAGAGCTGTTCAAGGTGAGAGTCTCCTTACCTCAAGCACTCTTCCTGTGATATACTTTTCACAATTGTCACATCTGATACCAAACTTTGCATGATAGTCCGTTTCACAGTATGGAATGCCATCTCTAGGGAAAAAATGACAGACAATATGGAGATTAGGTTAAATGGAATTACAGGTGGTCTGGCAGACTTCACAGCTGAAGTTTGTTCACATTTCAATGGACATTGTTTATGGATTTATCCCCTGCTAAATCCAGTATTTACTATTTTTTAAAGAAATTGAATAGTCAATGTATAGGAAATACCTGATCCTCCATATCTGATCCCCAGCCTTCCAAGGGCACCACAATTCCACTTTACTGTTTTGTCACCAAATTCAGCACTCTCTTCCCTCCCAGCCACAACATTAGATGGTATCCCAATTGTGGCTTAACTACTATAAGTGACTTTTAATCTAAAAATTCAAAGATTAAAAGTGGTACTCTTAGCTTTTATTCCAAACAACCAGAACCAAAGTGCCTGCAATATTACTCTGAATTAATATATCTGTTAATCTGCTTCCTATTACTGAGCAAGGCAAATATCTATCTATCTATCTATCTATCTATCTATCTATGCTGCCATCCGTTAAAATAATGGCTACTCCAGAGACATACTAGGATATTAACTTAGTTTCTAAAAAGCATATTTTCCTTAGAAGAGGTAAAGAGATGTTTTAAATAAAATCTATCAAAATCATGTATTTAGCTCAATAAACTGATGAATGAAAAAAACTTATTGCTGAGAAATATGGAGACATCTCTTCCTCCYACTTGAAAGTACAAATTCAGTATAAATTATGTTCAGCGTGTTAGTGCATAACATGCTAAAAGACCCCACCATCAAATAGATTTATTAGCACAGGAATAATTTGTGTGGACCTTCCTCTAGAGAAACATAAAAATTAATTTTATAGCATAAATGTTGGATTGCTTAGAGAATAACCCATAAGTTCTCATAATAATTAACTGAAATAATTGAAGCAGGGATGTTTCTTCCACTGAATTGTTTTGTTTGGCTTTCAACTGTTTTTCAGAGAGGACTTTGTAATAAATATATCTTTACAGCTTAAGGGTTTTTTTGTTGCTGAAAAACAACCAAGTGCTGTACTGAAACACAGCACAGTAGCATGGAATTTGGGATAATGTAAGGTTTTATTTAATAATATTTTGCATTAGAGGTTTTCCCAATTTCCAGTGCCAGCTGTGAAATTAGATGTTATACTTGTATTAATGTAAACCCAAAGACATATTGAATATCAGCGAGCCAATGGGTCTGAAAGTCCACTATGTCTGAACATAAGAGCACTGGGGACTGAGCTATTTTTTGTTTGAGGACAATTTCATCACAGACCAATCTCCTCTAAAGAGGAAGCAACTCTCTGTTGCCCTGGCCAGGGATAGGCCTGTATCACACTGGCCTGATCTGAGTGCTGGCACAGAGCCTGGTCTGTGTGTGCTTTTTGCTGACTCCCATCACTGTTGTCAAATTCAGTCTGAATTTGGCATCTTTCTTATGGAAAACATACAGAGAAAAGCTTGACATCAATCTCTAATCTTCTACCTAACCCCAAAGAGCGATGAAAACCTAAAGCATCTGCAACACCAAACTAACCGCTYTGCATCAAAAGAAGACTAAAAATGAGATAAGATGCCCTGATTTCCACTTACTTGCTGATGTACTCTGCATTCAGTAGCTTGCCACACGTATTGCACTTAAAACAACCCAAATGCCAGTGCTTGTCCAAAGCGACCAGCGATTGCCCGTTTTTTATTTCTGAACCACAGCCCCCACAATCTGCAAGAGAGAAATCCAGTATGAGCAAATCACATATTGGAAATAATCAGGCAACACTACGGGTTGGGTTGCTGCAGTGCAGGACTCCCTTGGTGTCATAGAAACAGCTCGGTCGGGCTCCAGAGCTGGTGGATGACAAGTGGTGCAGACCTCATGTTGCTGAAAGACATGAGTCATTCAAAGGCAAAAATAGTAACTTAGGTTTCCTTAATGATTTAGGTTTTACTTTAACTCACTTACACTGYCTTTAAGAGAGATGGAGTCTTGCTAACCAGCTGCTCACATACCATAAACCAGCCCAGTAAAGTTAATAAAAATGACGTGAAAGTCTTGAGATTAAAATCCGTACTTGATTCTTCTTATTAGACTTTGCTTCTGGATTGAACAGTGTAACTCATATTTCAAAATTCTTGSAATTGTGTAAAGAAAAACAAGTTGAAAATCTGATGTGACTGAAGTGCATTACAAATTCCTCAATATCGGTGTTATGAATGATGGCTGACCATGTATTTATTATTTATATAACATCTATGTAAAATTAAGTATAAATCTTTAAAAAATTATAAGTTAATTTAATTTAAAAATTATAACAATATATATTTATATAAAATATATATATATACATTGCTATTATATAAATTTAATTTATAAGAAAATGAAATGTAAACCATAACACACACTAAACTATATTGATTAAGCAGGATATATAYGTAGTAGCTCTATATTCCCCAGAAAAAAATAATTCAGGGTGAGGGTTTCTCTTTTTTTTTTGGGGGGGGGGGGAAAGGGGGGCATTACACAGGTAAACTCCTACTTGCCAGGCCAATAGACCACCACTTAGTACCCTTAACAGAGAAGCTACAGCCTTGCTGCACAGTTTAGACATGAGATTTGAGATTTATCTTGTTCTCTCTATCCTAAACAAACCCAATAATTATTAATTAATTAATTAATATAATATAATAATATAATAATAATATAATATAATAGTTCATAGTGCCCATCTCTCATTCACATTGTTCTCTGCAGACCCAGAGGTCTATGTGCAATTTCTTAGAAAATGTTAAAATATTCAGCATATATGGAAAAAAAGTGTCAAACATCAATGATTCTAGCATCCACTATCTCAATAATCTTTCTAACTTTCTATCTGATCTTATATGAAATAATGTATTTTTGAGGAATTCTTCATGCATACCAACAATATGCACCAACAAGAGAAAAAGCAAAATCTGGAAGGTCCTTCACAAGTCATTTAGAGATGTTGAAGAAGAAAACAAATACGTCTTCCATGGAAGAGAAAGATTCACATAAGCATAAAAGGATTTATCTAATTATTAAAAAAAAACACCTCTAAACATAGCATTTCATTAAATGCTTTAACCATTTTTCTTCAAAGTTTTCTGAATTAAGATTCTTCTTAACTGATTACATGACCGTAGCAAGATACCATGGAAGTGCAGTCCACATGTCCCAACGACATGTGGAGCTCAGATCAGAAGGGTTGAGATTTGCTAACAGAAGAGAGAATTTGGGTGCGGGCCTGGATTTTCTCCCAAAAGACAATCCTTTAGTATCTATTCTTTAACTGCAAACAGAAATTTGTTAGTGATCTGTTCACCAGAGGTTTATCTGGCAGGTAAACTAATTTAATCCCACTGGGGGAAGTTTTATTCTACTATCTTAATAGAACACAGCACACTCAGATGTCATTCACCTTTCATCTTCTTTCAGCTTGGGTGGGCAGAGATGCAGCATTTCGTGTGTTACTATTTTTTTGCTTTCTTTTTCCCCCCTTCTTGTGCTGTTTTCACTATAAAGTTCCAGATAATTAAAAACAAATATTGTGGTTACTATGACAATAGTGGAATTGATGTGGTGTCATTGTCTTCCTGTTTGGAAGTAGCATCCTTTAGTGACTCACTCCATTTCAACCAATAACTACAGGATATATCAATTTGATGCTAAATGCTGATATTCTTCCTTAAATAGTTTTTCAACATCATCAGCATCACAAAAGCTTTTCAACGCTAGCATTTTACAAATTAAATAGAGCAGATAGGTGTTTATACAATAATAAAAAGATTCAAGGGCTCCGGCAAAAGGCAAATACTTGACATTCCTTGTTTCCTCCAAACGTTAATACAGAAAGGAGATCATAACCACATGGAAAAGATGAAAATAGAAGCACTGGTCAGAGAGGGCAGCAATGTTGGGAGCTCAGCAAGCCCCAAGAGATCTCTTGAAAGCATTTTTGAGCTGAATTCAGAGATGAATAGGCTGAYGAATAACACTGCATCATGTCTATCTTGAAATGATGGGCCCAGAGCAAAACCTAACAGCAGGTCAACATAYTATTTGCTCCTTGACTCAGCTTGCTTGAAGACTAATGCTTTTGTTCACTACTTACTTTTACAAAAAGAACCATTAATTTAAAACATCAAGGTCTTTTTCCAAGAAGACAGCTAAAACGGTGGGACACAAATTCCATTTATTGCCTGACATAGTTTGCAGCGTAATTACAGACAGTCTTTTTGGACTTTCTTTTTTTGTGGCCTAACCAAGATGTTTCTGACTCTGTCTAGTCCTACCACTATCGAAACAACTTTGTTAGCCTAAGGATTAGCAAGTGCCTGGAAAACTGCTGTTATCATATACTGTTCTCTCTTTTTTTTTTTTTCTGAATATTTTTAAAATTTTTACTTTTTTTTTTTTTTGACATCTGGCTATCTTTCTATATATTCTCATTGGTCAAAATTTGACATATCCTGCTCTGTATACATACACAGATAGCTGCAAGGACACTTGCACCTACAACTATTTGTGACTATACTATAACTTTTCCCTTTGATGCTACTGTTCCCCACATCATGGCTGGATCACGCCAGGCCACGCTCAAAGTGGGGTCGTAGAAGACAAAGAATACAAATAGTCAAGGAAGATATTTACCTGGGATTCTCACAACATTGGTCAATAGCTCAATCTACACCATAGGGACCTCAGTTTACTGTTGGAGAAGTCTTAGTATTTACCAGTCTACCCCTGCCACTATAATATCTTTGGGGAAGCAGAGCTGATCAGGCACAGGCCAAGAACCAGATCAACTTCCTTTACATGCCCAGCCTGCTCACTGACAGAAATTAATCAGTTTTAAACAAAGATCCTGATCCAAGTGCCATTGTAGCCTGAAGAAAGATTGCTTCCATTTCTAATGAGATTTAAAGTAGGCCTCATGTGAGGTTTAAATACTTGCATATGTTTAAGATTTTATTCATGGAAAGGCTAACCTTCTACTTTCAAAGGTCAAGTTTTGCCACCAAGATCACTCCCTTCAAGGGAAGATCTGTCCATGTAGAKTGAAATATTATAATATGCAACAAAACTGTAATTCTAAGAACAGAATTTTACTTTGCCCAAGTGCAGAAAACAAAACCAACTGGAAATAAAGCTGTAGGCAATCTGCAGCAAAAACGAAGAATAGCTAGCCCAGAGGAATAAGCAATTGCTAGATCTTGTGCTCTGTCCTCACTATCAGTCAGACTTCAGAAAAAAAAAAAAGGTATTTTAGTCAGCATCCCTAAAGGCTTTATTTGAACTAAAAGCAGAATATTTGATTTTGAATTTGAGCACAAGAGTCTTGCCATCTCTTTTCACAGGCAGTAACTTTACAGAGGTCAATGGTGCTGTACTTCAAGAAGATGGGAGTTCATTTCCAAAGAAGCTGGCAGTTTACTACTTTTGAGTGTATTTCCTCTTGCCCATAAAGGTCGTGTTATATCATTGTTCACTAAAATATGGGCATGCCTACAGTATATGAAATGAGATCAGAATAAAAATAACTATAGCTGTATCTACTATTTTTCAGCTTTCAGACTGTAGCAATACATGAACTCCCAAGCAGAAACATTATTTTCCAAAGTTACTTCTTTCATTCTTTCATTCAATTCTTTACTACTTTCCTTAAAACATGACAGAAAAAGCTACTATCAGTACAAATATCTTGACATGCACTGGATTGTTAGCCTAAAGTACAAATTTTGCTGACATTAGCAGTTAAGTTTTGTTATTCAGTTCATAGGTAAAATTATTACAAATCATTTGTCTGAAAAATGAATATAGATTTCAAAGAAGACAGAATTAGCTGTCTTTTATGACATTCATGACATTGGTGTGTATGTGGGGCCATGTTACAGTGCCAGTCAAGCCCTGTCTGGCTATAGCAACGCAGTTCTAACACTCTGCTGGGTGCTAGAAGAATTTGAACATCTTAGTGGGCCTGGCTAGCTGAAGAGCTACCTTTTTAGCAACTACATCCTTAGGGGGAGAGAATGTATACTGGGCAAAACAACATACATTTAAAGGATTCTGTATCACAGATAATCAGATAATTGAATGAACTTCTGTCAGTACTCAAGCAGGCAAATAATTTCCATTAAAGTCAGCATCGATTTTCCCATGAGAAAAGATGGTACATGCAGATGACATGCTGTTTAAGAGCTCATCTGCAAATGCAGCCAGCCAAGATGGATCAGACTCATGGCTCCTGACGAGGATGATCTACCAGGGAAGTACCTGACAAGAGAAGAAAGCACCTAAAAGAGAGGGCGATTAATTCTCAGTTTTAGCAAGAGGAGAATCAGTGCAGGGTCTCTCACACGGCAGCCTTTGTTGATAAACTGAAGAACCGAGATGGTGAAGGCTTTCAGAGGGAGACATTTCTCACTGGAGTGGGCTCTATTCTTTATATATAAAGATAATGCAATTTATTCAGTCATACTGAATGCTTGATGTGATGTGACAGTCATCAAAAATAAGAAGTCCTATTTCTGCCTTGCTGTTTAATTAAATTTTTGTACTGCTTTTTTGAAAAGGCAGTGGTTGAATGTTGTTGGGTGGCAGCTTACAAACAAATCAACATACTACCTAATAGAGAGTCCAGAGGAACAATGCAGCTCTCAGACATCTGTTTCACTGTAAAAAGTATGATACGAATGAACTACTCTCCAGCTCTGTTAGGTTTCTATCTCCTAATAGCACATACTTACTACTAAGGTCAATGCAAAAGTCTGTTGGGTGCCTTTGCATATATCAACTTCCCATACAGCATTTAGATACATAAATATGTCACTGACATCTTTGGAATCAATCCTGGAACACATACAAAGGACAAAAATCTCATGATTTTATTTCAGCTGGAGTTAGAGTAAATCCTCAAAAATATTAACATCTGCATGACTCCTCCAGATATTTTGCTTTAATCTAGTTTTAATCAAATATTCTGTGTGTTCCTGTGTATTCTTAACTCTGCAATGGCAGTACTTTGTGTCTTTTATTTTTTATCAGACTTATTGGAAAACTGACATATTTTTTCACATGACCGTGTTGTCTTGACTTCTTGACTGCATTGATTTCTTGGCTGCATTTAAGCAGCAGAGTGGTAAAGGCTCTCATTTCAAT